ATAGTTTGCAGTTGTTACGTTGCAACGCACGATCGCGCCGAGTGGCGAATAATAAACTTCGTCTCTCCTGTATTTCAACAAAACTAACACCTCACTGTGTTTGACACCACGAAATGTATTGCCACCTATGACAAAAGTACCGTTACGCAGACGACCGCAATTTACGATGTATATAATACTAATGCCGGCTGGACTGTGAATTATTGATGACAACATTCGATGCGGAACGATCAACAAGGACGTAACAAGGAAAGGATGAAAAATTTGAAACGATAAAACGGTTATATGGATATATCATATAAAGAAATATCTTTTTTACGCGTAGAAATATTTTAGTCCTACAAAAACAGGTCTCGCGGTAGTTATTCGAGGCAGGCTGCTCGATCTACCTTCGTATATTTCATTTCGTCACGTCTACATATCACGAGAATGTAAGACGACAAATATCAATTTAAACTTTCGCCGTGACAGAGTGAGTGGCAGCAGCGAATACAGATTAAATCTCAGGGAGATGACTGGGAAAATTCTTCGTACAGAAGTTAGGTTTGCGCGCGCGCGCGTCTCCCCACAAATTCCGGGTCTTTTCGGCGCGATTTACTTAAATGTTATCACTCGCGACTTGAAATCCCACTGCTCCAGATATATTACACGCATCGTCGGAGCTAGCGCACATTTTGTCTCGCACGGTCGATGGCACCCAATCAGATTGTCAGATTCGATTCCAATTCGTCAGATATTCTTAGTAAATGGAGGGACCTGCAACGGGGATAGGGAGAGAAAAGTAACAGAGCTCTATTAAATCAGTTCCCGTATGTCTGCGTTGACGAAAAAAACAATTGTCGCGAGTGTTATTTTAGCGGACGAAGCGAGCTCTCACCTCGCAATATTTCAATTTCATGAAAAACTGAGAATTTTATTTAAAGTCCACTTTGGTCAATTCAAAATGTACGGCAAGATACGGAGCGTTTTATTGAAAGTTGCTCGAAATACGAGATTATATTTACACGAGTGTTGAAATTATATATTAATGAATTATAGCTTTTAACACATTACAGACATGGAAATTAATTAGTAAATCTTAACATATTTTCTTTTATATATATATATATATATATATATATATATATATATATATGTATATATATACATACATACATACATACACATACATACACACCCCATATAAAATTACAGATGAAATTCTGTTTTGAATTCCGTCGTGAACTATACATAAGCGTTTGCAGGAGGTTCTAAGTTAATAATTTGTTTCTCGATTAAAATTTAATAAAACGTCCTTGATCACTTTGAGTGACGTTCGTGCGATGTGTGAAAAAATTCATAAATTTTTATACTTCTCGACGTGGACTTATAGTGAATACTTAAGCATGAATATTTTAATGAAATAGCGTTTTTGGAAAATTTACCGAGCACTCTAATTCGCGTAAGCTAACTAGTTTATCTTGCCATAGTTTAGTCAATATATTCCGCACTTTTGGCCAAAGTTGTTCATAAACTCTAGCATACTTGGGTGCACTCTAGCAAGCTCTATAGTATCTTGTTCGTTCATACTTACTCCGACTTTATTCCGCCGTAATCTAGGTTACTTGCGAAGAATAACTGTCACGATTCTTCAAACACTTTTCATGCTTGCGTTAACAGTTGGACTTTTCAACATGTATTGATTTCACATGGCTGTAGGTCACCTAACCTCGATTGGATTTGCAACTTTCGTTTCAATCTATAATTCGTTTCTGCAAACAATTTATTACGAATGCAAGTGTGGATGAAAAATTCCTCCCTGATTTCCTCGTACACGGCATACATACGTAAAATTGTCGTTATATTTTTCATATCTTCTCGATAAACTTTCATCTTTGACAACGGAGTGAAATTCTTTGTCGAGCAATTGCAGTAATTGATAAGATATTGATATATTTCTTGTATCATTATATTTCCAAAATAAACTTCCAAAATGAGGAACTTTTATATCAAAATAAAATTAGATCAAATATAACTTCTTTATCGAGAATCAACTTACTTTATTTTCATAAAAATATATATATAGAAACAAATTTTTCAATCTACAATCATTAAGTACATAGAAAAGAATTAAGTATATAGCAAGTAATTTGATGAAAGTGATAAATAGGAGGCATAACGATATAGAATACATTTTGTTAAAAAAGGAGCGAGAAATGTGAAATAATATAAAAGTGCTAATAAAAGTTCACAACATCGAAACATGACTCCTTCAGGGAAGTATATGAAAGTACGTTGGTGCAATGTACGCTTACACCACTGCAATACACGCAAATGTTAAGATGTAAACATGATGAGAACATAATCCACAAAAAGTCTATCACAATATAGAGCAGAAGAGCACATGACAAATATCTCGCATTCCTGTTCGCGTACGCATTCCAAAAATCCAAGTAAATCTCTTTGCACACCAACCTCTTCTAAAATCCCGAAAATCTTTTGAGAGATCGCGCGGACTGCACCGGACGCGAATATACGTAAAGGAGCAAAACAAGTCCACCGGTGTACTTAAGAGCCCGAACTCGGTGGACCAGTCCAGAGGACAAGACCTCGAAGGGGCGCACGCTGACCACACGGGACCGCCGATGCATGTCCCATTTCGCACGGGCGACGGCACCCAATCAAGCCGGTTTCAATTCCGATCCACGGGTTGTCCCAGTGAACGAACGGATGAAGAGAGAGCGAGAAAGAGAGACAGAAAGAGGATGAACAGGAGTGCGACAGAGGAAGGATCATTCGGATGTAGGGCGACGGGGAAAAGTTTGCGGCGATGGTGAGCTTCTCTCACTCACAGCCCTTTCTCTCTGTTTCTCTCTCCTTCGTTCCTTTCTCCCTCCTTTCCTTACCCTCCCTCTCTCTCTCTCTCTCTCTCTCTCTCTCTCTCGCTCTCGCTCTCGCTCTCGCTCTCCCTTCATGCGCTCTGGGCGCAAGGGTAGGTAGGGGTGATCTGGTCTACCCTCTGGTGCTGCTGGCGCGCGCTGGTGCTGCTTTCGACTTCCCCGGGACGGACTCGCGCTCGCCCGCCGCTCTTCGTCGTGATAACGCGGCGTCGCGTCCCGCGAGAGTAGGAGTGAGCTGGCCAGAGCTGGCTGCTCAGTCAGTTCGATACCGAGCGCCGAAGCGTTCGGAATCCGCTCCGATATCGGTGTGCGTCCTCTTCATCCTCGTCCTTAACTTTGTCGTCGTCGTCGTCGTCGACGCGCGCTACTCTGGAACATGTCTCGTCCCCGCGTGGCGCGACGACGGGCCCTGCGGGATTGCTAGTGGGGGATGATGGAGCATGACCGCAATGTTGGGGGTGACACGCGGAAGAACGCCGCAGGACATGTGCGTTCCGTCGAGCTGAAGAAATCGCGGTGAGCTCCGCTCCGCTCGACCGGGAAGGCTGCACACGCGGAACAAGACTCGGTGATCACGAGCAACTAAAAGCCACCGTCAATTACTCCGCAACGAGGAATCCCTTCTCACGGGACATATCGAGTCGCACAGTGCTCTTGAAACATGTGCGCTTGTCAAAGGCTTCGCGCTGTCGTTGCTGAATGAGAGCCTTTGAATTCGCGGGCCCGCGGCGACCAAAAGGACCAGAGAGGGTTCCCCTCTACGATGCGAGGGTAGAAGGGCACAGCGATGAGACGCGACTTAAATATCATCGTTAGCGTTCATCCCGTGAGTACACATCATAATAATATTGCGATTTCGAGGGTCACACGTACGTTCTTATCGCATGCACTAGTGTGGGAGCTACCTGTTAAGGTATCGCCCACTGACTCCTCACCGCACACACGTCGGCGATTACTTGAGATATGTTGCGGCGAGTATTACGGAGCTTACGGAGCCGGCTTGGGTCAGACTCCCCCGAGATAGCGAGCATAATTTGTGTCGGTGTGTGCGTAAATTTCTCTTCGAGGGATACTTTTGCGGCCAACGTCTCGGCGCCAGCCGGCCGCTGTAGGAGCGTCGACGTCGACCTTCCCTCCGTTGTTTGCCGGGTTAATCTGGAGATCGTTCTAATGATTCGCGGAATCGTCTCCGGCGAATCCACGAGTCTCGGAGGGAAGCAAGGCGAGATGTTTAATTTCTTAATCGTAATCCGTATTTGAATTAATAGCTCGCATTAATTATGGAAGTGAGGGAGAGCGCGGGAGCACGCGGCCCGCCGCGACGCAGATCTCCCGCTGGAAAATTAACAATTTCGAGAGCACGACGGCGCACGCGAAGGAATGCGATGGTGGTAATATGCAGCACATTGCAGAGTATGCGCGGTTTGCTACGCTGTACGCGATAAATGGCGGGATGCTTTATAGTCAGCAGGTATATCCCACGCACTTCGCATATCGACCCTCTTCGCGTCTCCTGGAGTATTAATTAAGTGGCTAAGCAATGCGATTTCGGCTACTAAAACATCCCGGGAACGTAACGGACACGAAACAGCGTCGTATAACGGTCGATGAAGGAATAGGATCGACTGAATAGAAAAGACGCGTGATACTGAGGAGGGTTCAAACGAAACGGCTGATGTATTATACGTCTATTGATGCTGGATTTTGGGTTTTGTGTCAATACACACACGTCGACCATTCACGTCGATGTTCCTGTCAGGAAAAAGATCCTTTTGATCCTTAATCAATCACATTCTTGTGACTGATGAAGAATCGATTGATCCATTTCTAAAAGCCATTTTCAACAATTTCTCGAAAAGACGGGAACAAGTTCGCGAGTATTCATGTAACTGTTCAGCTTGTATTGCACGCTTTGCAATTCAGAAACAAAATGGCGCATAATCAGCACGTCTCCTCGCAATTGAAATTTGTCAACTTGAGATACCTTTTTTCTTTCTCTCCGCGTCTCCCCCTCTCTCTCTCTCTTCAGTCAAATAACAAACTTCATTATCCACGCTTATTTTTATTTCATCCTGCAGATTACTGTTTCACGAGAAAAATTCGTGCAGTCGCTGGTATCTTCACTTTTTCCTCCATTCTGTTCTTCTTCGACTTGGAGATAATGCGATCTAGTTTCTTGGCAAATTGCAGCGGAATTACGGCACACTGTATCAAAAAGATTTCTTGCACATCAACGTATACGGCGTGTGAAACGCGACAACATTTGCAACTTTCCAAGATATTCCTTAATCGCAGCTCGTTTCGCGCTGCGCGAAACAATTCGTCCGGTCCTGTTTCAAAGAGAATACAGTTAAATTTACGACCGTGAGGAATTCACACGGACGAGATAGAGGACATTCCGCTCGGACACAGTTCGATGGTCCTGCATTTGCAAAGGCCACTCTTAAAATAAGAGGAACGTGACTTAATAAAAGAAACAACCTTCACTCGCGCTAGCGGCCTAACTGCATATTTTATAAAACGAGATAAAAACGAGCAGCATCGAATTACATCTGGCAACTGGCTCGCTATATCTCTACGCGAGATTGCTGAAGTAAATATTAGATGGAAAAGAATGACTAGTAAAGACTGAGAAGATTGAGAAAAGCAGGAAGAAAGAAGAAGAAGTAAGGAAAAGGCGTGTTACGTTCCGAGGATACCCCCCCCCCCTGAGGCCGTAGACAATATAATAAGCAAGGTAATGTTCAGGTTATAAGAGTGTTCGCAAATTGCTGTTAAATATTTTTCTCATCCTGGCCCGCCGCTCACTGTGGATCCGGCGAAAGTTCCCGCGAACATGTGTCCGGAAGAGCCTCGCTTTTCCAAGTTATAAGCCCTCTAACGCTTCCAGAAACTTTCAAGCAGATAAAGCTGACAAAGAGCCAAAATTGCACGCGGCCTGTTCTGCTGAGATTCGAAAAGGCTCATAACTCGAGAAAGAGGAGACGCTTTCAGGAGGTGCATAAATTCTCAGCGGGCTTTTGTCGCTATATTAACGGTGGTGCCGGTGAGACCTGGCTGAGAAGTCGGCATTAACGTCAATTTCGCCAACAGCTCTGTATAATACGATAAAGAGCCGGATTGAAGAAGAGCGGAAGACAAAGTCTGGATTCCCGAGTGAACGCCCGGCGTACAGTTGAAGAACTGTGTCTCGGCACAGGAGACGCCCGCGCACGAAAGGGACTACTACTACCCCGTTTCGACTTCGTTTTGGGGATATTGAATATGACGCTCCAAGGTCGCTCCGGAAAGTTCCGATCGTACCCTTTATTAGGATACGTGCGGAAGCCGCGTTGATCCACCATTATCGCCCCTGCGCGGAATATGAAATGAAAGTGCTCCTCGCTTCTCTCCGGCGATGCTCGCGCTTATTTGTAACTCTGTTAGTAAAGCGACGATCGGGATTTTCAGAACGGGAATCGCGCGACGACGATATCTCGGAGGATATAAATTGCGACGCGACAGACTCCTACGAGAGCGCGGTTCGGTCATTAAGTTAGTAACTTTGCTTTTAGCTTCGTAGCTTTTGTTTAACTGTCGATATTAAAAGCTTTCGACATTATGTTCTGGAAAGTATATCCTTAATTTTCTTAATCGACTCTACTTTTTTTTCTGTCTCTCTCTCTCTCTCTCTCTCTCTCTCTCTCTCTCTCTCTCTCTCTCTCTCTCTCTCTCTCT